TTGCTTGATACTAAATAAACTTTTGAAAGAAAAATCAGTGTGTGTGAGAGTATGTATTATTTATTTAAAAACCTTAATAAATAGTTGTAAACAGGGAAGGAGTGATTTTTTTTTAACAACGATCAGCATAAAATGGGTCCTCTTAAAATATCTGTACAGCTATTTTTTTTAAATGGTAAAAACCTAAAGGTGCCTTACATTTACTATAGCTATCTCTCTCTTGTTTTCCATTTATGCACACAATATAGATTTAAAGAGTTGTTAAAGAAAGTATCCAAACGGTATTGAGCGGCTGGATTCCAACTTTAAAATATATATATATATATTCTTGTTTTAAAATAGCTAATGCATTTTTTGAAGTAGATAAATTAAAAAAACGCAGAGAATCAATCAAAAATAACCTGTGACTTAGTTTTTCATCTTGTTGAGCAATTTCTTCATTAGCGCAACTTTGGAATATTTTTTTTTTGTTGTTGTTGTTTTCTGAGAGTTTTGATACCTTAATGACAACCTCACTCCTGTGTGTGCCGGAAGCAATAAACTCAAAGCTTTTAAAGACTTTCTGACATGACTAATTGCGGTCGCTTTTCGTCAGAGGCTGAGGATGTAACCCTTAAAACGGTCTTCATTTGCAAAAGGTAAATAAATCAAATAAGATTTTAATCTCACTTAATTTATCTTAATATAACCCATAAAAGCAGGCGAAGCATACCAATTACCACAGTTTTATTTTAGATTACAGAGAGAGGCTTTTAAGATCACCATCTAAAATTTCATCTTAAAAAGTTTAATTTGTGCTAGTACCTAAAAAAAAAAAAGCCTTAGTCAGTTTAATTGGAGCCAAGTCTTCATGATTAAACCAATGTAAAACATCATAACTAGTAACTTGTAAATCCTAGCATTTATGGACAAAATAATGTAACTAAGAACTCAAACCATTAGAGATGTTTTGCCCCTTAAACCTTATTCCTCTTTGTTGGCTTGGTGTCTTTTTTAATTGTGGTGTTCATTCTTTATGATGTGTTCTGTTAATTTTAGATTTTAGAAAAGTGGAGTTCTTGAATTAGTAAAAAAAAGAGCATTTTCTTCTTTTTATTAGGAGTCATTTGGAACGTACGGAGGCCCAAAGAGATCTGTTTCTCTTGATACTTTGGTAGGTATCTGTTTTTAAAAAAATATGTATATATATATATTAAGCTTTAGTTAATAATGTTCCAGAGAATTGCTTTCAAATAAATGACATGTGTTTCAGACTGTTTGACACTTTTCAACCCTTCAAGAAAGAAATTGGAGATTTCTAGCCAAATTTTTCTCTGCTTGCAGAGTGTCCAATTTGCACCATTAATGGTGACTCGGAAGCTATGGTTGATCCTTAATTGCATCTGAATTCAGAAACGGTTGACGTTGATTCAGTTATGGCATTGGTCAACTTCAAAGTGTGGCTCCATTTTTGTGGCGGAAAGACTTTTTACGGGGTAGATGAAAAAAAAAATCAAGAACGCTAGAGATTATGTTTGTGGTGGATCCGGAAACCCATAGCCCAGGGGTGTGCATACTTGGGAGACTTGTGGACTTCAACTCCCAGAATTCCCCTGCCGGCTGGCTGGGGAATTCTGGGAGTTGAAGTCCACAAGTCTTAAAGTTCCCAAGTTTGCACATCCTTACCATAGCCCAAATCCTGTGCTGCGAATCCTATGTTTTTTTAAAATAATCTTTATTGGTTACATTTTTTTTAAGAATAAGATATAAATACAAATACAACTTTAAACATACAAACCCCCCCCCCCCCCCGCGGTAACAGCCATTCACAGCCCAACTTTTTTTTTTCTTCCTCATAGTCTCTAACCAGCATCTTCTCGTTACAAAGTT